TAAATTATAAAAACTTCCTTTAATAGAGGCTTGTAACATGGAAGAGATTTGTCAGATAAAATGAAGAGTTTCCAAGACACTGAAATATAAGCCAATAAGTCACCATAAATACAGCACCCAATAATAAAAACCACAACAGCAAATTCACACGGTCCCTGTAATAGCCATGATCTGATTTCACACACTTTCAAGAGACGGCAAATACGGCCCGCTGGATAGAGCGCTCTAGGGCTTTGAAGTCACTCATCTGACAGGGTTGTGGCATTGGTGGCTCAACTCAAGAAGCAGAGCAGGTCCCAGCACTTCAGTGTATTGAACATCCTTTAAATATCAAAGTGAGAAATAAGAAAACGAGATAATCACGCCATCAGAGACGGTAGGAAGCAAGGGCAGCTGTGTAAAGCTCGCGGCTGAAAGGTGGCTCGCCAGCTTCATTTCTTTGGCTTCTTGGGTAGTGGCCGCCGGAACAGTAAGATGTGAGGTTCTGAAAGAATCAGCGACACCATTCAAGCACAGTCTACAGTTATCCCACTGTGTCCCCCGCCCCGCCACACCCACATCAGCTCCACAACCAAATTAAGATAGAGCAGACAGCCTTAGAAGCAGCCTCAGAAGTCTGACCTTTCTGCCATGTACAGAATTTTTTCTATTGTTTGCATAGCCCTGGGGTGTCCTGTGTTAGTTTTGCCTGGCAGCTGGGTGTCTGGTGTCTTACCAAGAAACAAAACTGCCTGTGCTTGTTTGGGACACATCCAGCTATTTGCAGAGGCCATAGCCAGGGTGCATGTGGTCTTGAAAAGAGTGCCCACCAGCTGATTAAAGACTGCAGGGTTTTGTCTTGTTTTCAGTACGGCTGTCCCTGACCTTCCTAGATGTTCTCATTCTGTCACTCGACTTCCTTTGCACAGTGAATGCAGGAAACAATCCTGTAAATGATGCCCTCCTCCCTCTATCGCTTTGGTTTGTAATCTTCCTTCAGCCAGAATGAAGCTTCCTTATGTTGCACTGACCTGGTTCATGGATCATATAATGGACCCATCCCTGACTCTGCTGAACACCAAGATTTCTCCATTCAGATTCAGACATCAAATGGGTTTTAGGGACCAGCTTGGCTATGTCCTTGGGCAACATGACATGTCTGTAAGAGAAACACGGGGATGTGAAGAGTTCGTGGTAGCTGCGGGTACAGTGTTAGACACTGACCTATATACAAAGACAAGCAGAGGAAGAAGACAGCTCACACTGTAACTGACAC